TCCTTAGAAAACCCTGCTAGCAAGGTTTGCCCTTGGCTGGCATTTGGGAACTTGGATTTGGGGAAGGATTCCCCCCATTCCCTAACAGATAGAGGGGCTCACTATGCCTAAAAGACGTAACACTTGCACACATGTTGTCACTTGTTGCTGGAGGAATTAAGAGCATCCTATGTGACTCCACTGGAAGAGAACTCTTGGAAGCTGGTGTTTGGTTTCCTCTGGACTTCGCTCAATTCCCTTTCTACTCTTTACTGATTTTGCTTTGTATCCTTTTGCTGTAATAAATCATTGTTTTATGACTATGCTGAGTCCTGTGAGTGCTCCTAGCGAATCATTAAACCTGCAAATAGTCTTGAGGGCCCAGCCACCTAACGACTTTAAAACAATAGTTCGAGGGGCAGCGGGGGACGGGGCGGGAAGGGGGTGGTGGAAAGAGAAACAAAAATAAAAAACAAAATAAGAAAAAACAAAAAGTTCAGGAAGGTGTAAGAGAGCAGTTCATTTAAATTTAACTTAATTATTTGACATCACTTTATTTCAGCTTTACCATCCTGTATGTTTTCTATTTTTCTCATCTGTTCTTTGTTCCTTTTGTTTCCTTTCTTGATTTATTTTTAATAAAATTATGTGATTTTACTAAATCTTCTCTAATGGCTTTGTAGATCTACTGTACTATTTTTTCAGTGACTGGGTAAGAGATTACAATATGCATCCTTAATTTACCATGGACTACCTTACATTAATACTATTCCACTTTGTGTACAATGTAATAAACTTACTTCAATATAATTCCATTTATTGCCCTCTGTGGCCCTTTGTGCTATTTTTGTCCTATATTTTACTTCTACATACATTATAAATACTGTAATTTTCTTTTGCTTTAAATGGCCAATATGTAGAAAAATTAAGAAAAAATGTCTTCCATATTTACCAACATATTTATCATTTCCAAAGTTTTAAATTCCTTCCTGGAGATACAGGTTCCCATTGTGGATAATATTCCTTCAGCCTGAAGAATTTCTTAAAGCATTTCTTATTTCTCTAATGTCAGTCTGCCAGCAATACATTCTGTTTTTGTTCATCTGGAAAAGCTTTTATTTTGCCTTAACACTTTGAAGGATATTTTAACTAGATATAAAATTTTAGGTTAACTTTTGTTGTTTAATCTTTACACCTTAAAGATTTCATTCCATCATTTTCTGAATTCCATTGTTTCTGATGAGGTTAGCCATAAGCTTGTTTATTTGATGTAATGCTATCTGCTTGCCCCAAAGCTGTTTTTAAGCATTTTTTTTTCTTTTGGGGCAATGTGATGTATCCAGATATGGTCTGTATTATATTTATTCTTCTTAGGGTTCACTGAACTTGGATCTGTAAGTTGATGTCTTTCAACAAATTTGGGAAAATTTTGGGCATTATTGCTTCAAGTATTTCCCTTGCCCCATTCTCTTCCTTTACCTCAAATTACAGGAACATTAGACTGATAATGTCACACAGGTCTCAAACATCTGCTATTTTTTTTTCTCTCTGTGCTTTGGTTTGATAATTTTATTGGTTTGTCTTGCAGTTTAGTCAGTCTGCTACTGTGTCCAGTTTACTGTTAAGCCCATACAATGAAAATTTTAATTTCAGACATTGTATTTTTCACTTAAGATTGCTATTCTTCATTGAGACTTTCCATTGGTTTTTTTCTTTAATATTCAGTCTCTGTAGAGACTGTCAAAAATTGCCAATGCTGACTATATCGCAAGTCATCACACTGGAGTATTGGGAAAAGTTTTCAATTAGCAATAATCATGTCTTGGATAAACCACATTGGCTACAACATTCCCACTGTGCAAAGCTACCGTTGGGTTTTTTTCTATTCTCTGCTGAAAATCCCAATCTGTTCATCCACTATTTCTTTTCCTATAAATTCTTTAACATATTTTAGTTATTTATTTATTTTGCGATGGAGTCTTGCTGTTGCCTGAGCTAGAATGCAGTGGTGTCATCGCAGTTCACCACAACCTCAAACTCCTGGGCTCAAGCAATCCTCCTGCCTCAGCCTCCCAAGTAGTTGGGACTACAGGCATGCACCACCACAACCAGCTAATTTTTCTGTTTTTAGTAGAGACGGGGTCTCACTCTTGCTCAGGTTGGTCTCAAACTCCTGAGCTCAAGCAATCCTCCTGCTTGGCCTCCCAGAGTGTTAGGATTTACAGGCATGAGCCACCATGCCCGGCCACATCATATTTTAAAGCTATTTTAAAATCACTCTCATAGGGGTCATTTGTGCATCTGCTTCTGTGTATTTTCTATCAATTATGGCATAATCACATAATTTTTTTTTTTTTTTTTTTGAGACAGAATCTCACTCTTTTGCCCAGGCTAGAGTGAGTGCCATGGCATCAGCCTAGCTCACAGCAACCTCAAACTCCTGGGCTCAAGCGATCCTCCTGCCTCAGCCTCCCGAGTACCTGGGACTACAGGCATGCGCCAACATGCCCGGCTAATTTTTTTATATATATATTTTTAGTTGTCCAATTGATTTCTTTCTATTTTTAGTAGAGACGGGGTCTTGCTCTTGCTCGAACTCCTGAGCTCAGACAATCCGCCCGCCTCGGCCTCCCAGAGAGCTAGGATTACAGGCGTGAGCCACCGCGCCCAGCCAATCACATAATTTTTTATCAGGGAAATTGATACAAAAGGATCACAAGTTTTCTTTGTATGCTTACTAATTGTTTATTGTGTACTGAACTTTGGGGATAGATATGTTATGAAGACTTTGGATTGTTTTCTTCTAAATAATGTTTTGTTCTGGCTTTAAATTACTAATGGATAATCTTGATGCTGTGATTTAAGATTTGTTACCGTGAGTTTCTTTCCATTTTGTCCTTAGTGTTAAAACACAGCCCTCAGTTATAGGGTGTTGTCACTCCTCAAGGCATGGTCCTTTTTGGGTTTCAATGGGAAACACAAAGTGTTTTACTCAACTACTCTTAGTGGATCTTTAATTTCAAACTCTGTCCTTGAGCAGTTGCAATCTCTGCTCAGTTCTTTAGGCTTCAACTACTGCTTTCTGCTGAGTTCCTTTGAATATCACACTGCACAGGTACATCTTGGAATCCACCAAGGATTTGAAAGGAGTATGTAAGGCAGATTTGGGGCTTACTTTCTGAGGTACTCTCCTTCCCCAAATTTCCCTTCTAATTTTCAGTTGTTCTAGAAGTCCCAAATGACTTCTCAGCCCAGCAAGACCACCATATTCTGCTTGAGTTCTATTCCCAAGTGACCTGTACAAACTGGAAATTGCCCTATGGGTTAAAGCTGGTTAATGTGGATGTCTTCTACTACAGGATTTTGTGCAGTTTCTGCCTGGTTTTGATTGCTCTCCAGAGCCTTCTAATCATTGCTTTCTATCTATATTTTGTTCAGAGTTTATAATTGTTATTGACAAGAGTTAGTCCAATACAAGCTGCTCCTTCATTATCATACTGCAACCCCTGAAATCTCAAAAAGTTTTAGAGTAAAAAATTAAAGGCAAAATATGTTTTATCATTTATTTCCAATCCATTAGGAAAAAACCTACTTTATGCAGCTGTACCCTTTAATTCATTTCTTCTGGAAAAAAGTACAAAAGACCAGACTAAAATCGAGACAAACATTTAAAGGAAAATCCTTTGACTCAGAGTTTAAAAACAAACTATAAATGGTTCATTTTACCAAAAGAATTAGCTTTTGTACAAAATATAAAGAATTTTACACTATAAACAAAGACTGCTGTATCCATACTTAAATTAGAATTCTAGTATCTTCTTTTCCTCCAATTCTTCTTGAGCACAAAGCATATTTCCAAGCCAGAAATCTAATAACCTCAATGGGTAGACTGTCTCAGAGTAAGCTTTTAAGATACCTGGAAGGACAGTACTGATTCTTTCCCTTGGCTCAAAGTTCAGTACACATCAGTAAGTTTTAATTTAGTTTACAAAACTCTGCCATATTAACATGAAGAGCACACTAACGCTTAATGTTTAAGCAATACCTTCTAGGAAGTAATATAATAGAGCTCAACACAAAATCTAAAAAGTCACAATCTAGGTCAACATTAATTCAGAAAACCTCAACAACTTCTATCTTTATTGAAAAAGACCAAACCAATCTCTTATCTACTAAGTCATCATTCTATTTTCATGGCCCTTCTATGAAAGAAATACAGCTTAAAATAAAACTCAGTCATAGAAAATAGTTCTCTAGCACTAGCTGAATTCCAGACTTTATCAGGAAAGTAAAGTAACTTCTATACAGTAATATAATTTTCTGACTCAATATTTATATTAACTTTTGTATCTTTTAACAATTGAAATCTTTGTTATCCAAAAACTTTCCCAATAATCATGATTAATTTTAAAGATTATATTTTAAAAGTTGACCTGGAACCACATAGTTCTTTAATATGATTAGCTAGTTATCTATCAATAATTTTAATCCCTTTCTAAATGAAAACAAAATGAAATTTTATGGGCTTTCTTAAAAATGTTTTAATTTGAAATTTCCCCTAATTCTTTTCTGTATATTTCATTACCACCTTTTATTATCAATATTTTCTAACTGATGATTTAATGTTTGAGACCTTAAAAAGATACTACCCATCTAAAATATGCATAGCTTTGGTTTAAAAAATTTTTCTATTTATCTCAACTCTCATTTTTTATTATGCAGGGAATTCTAAAGCCATGATTAAAGGAGACATGATTCAAATTATGGCTACAAACAGTATATGATCTTAAGAAATCATACATCTTCTACAAGAGCAAGAGTAAAATTAAGAATAATTTATGTCTTCATGATAAAATTCTTATCTATTAGGGGCAAGTTTTTTATTTTAATGTATTCTCTCAAAACCAAATCTTTCCTAAGTGAAAAATCTTTGTTATTTCTACAAATTATTCCTTCCATCCATGAGATTTTACATAGCATCATTTAAGCACCAAAGAAAAATTCTGTAAACAAACTTTCAACCAGTAAACTAAGGGCAAATATCCATTTGCCTTTATTACAATATTTAAAAGGCCATGACATGAGTCTACTTCCTACAATGACATTTTTATAATAAAAATCCAGGCATATTTATACAAACAAGAAACAGAATTACTGTACATTTTTGGGGAACAAAAGGCAGATCGACAGACTAGAACTTCTTAGTTAATAAAGTGAGCACAAGAAACCTATAAAATGTATGCAATGTATAAAAATTCAGTATTTTTTTAAAGTTTCATTGAAGGGATTAATAATTATTAGGAATAAAAGATGGTATTTTCACTGGCTTATCATTATCCTGTAAACAGTAAGAAAGTAATAAGCAATAAATTAGAAATGTCTTAGCTCCGAGTATTTCCCTTCTCTCACACTGGAATCAGTTTTACAGCAATATTAGAATAATTCTAGCAGAAAATAAATTCCATCAGAAATAAGTTAACAGTCTACAGCAGATTTTTGACAAAGATATTAGAAAAAAATACTGCAGGTCACATGAGGACTGATCTACATGTTATATGACAGAGTAACTCAAACCTTCAAACCTTCTCTATTCTACCAGATTTGCGTTGTTGCTATTATATTGCTTTCTAAATTGTTTGGTAGCAAGGTAATAGAAAAATGAAAAGTGAAAAGAACAGAACAATTGTATGATGTCTGTAGATTTATGAAGAAGAAAAAACCCACAACGTAACTTTTTCCTATTATTGTTACTTAGAAAAAAGTTTCATTTGGCACACTGAATTTATTAGGAAAAAAAAAAGAAAGAAAGAAACAAAAAAGAAACTTAAGTGTCTGGCATTCCAATCACCCACAGTTAAGACAACAGTAGGAAAGAAAAGTAGGAAAAATTACTATTTTAAGAAAAAACGCCAGAAGACAAACAACCAAAGCCTCTTGTGTCTTCTACCATTCACTGTCTCTGGAATACCTTAATCTGCAACATGATATACAAATTATTATTTACATTATGATTATATTGGTAAAGAAGACCAGAATCAGTTTGTGTTGTGCTCTAACTTACAGTGCTCACTGGGATAACCATGATCATCAAGGCAAGAAAGCCTTAAACAACAAAATATTCCACTCGCATTGTATATTTTATTTAAATTTGTTTTCTGGTTCAAGTTTGGTGCACAAATATGTAAGACTTTGCAAAGTCCTGTAAACTTAGGCTGCATTTCTGTAGCTGATAACTGTTCACTGAAGACTGTGTGTTTCTCTCTTGTTAAGTAAAATGTTCTGCAGGCTAACAAAGGTATATCCTCAAACGGTGGTATCTCCAAAGTCCTTGTTCCAACGTATGTATGCTTCTAAGGTTTGAGGGCTCACGCTGCGTTTTATCTTTTTCAAGGATTCAGTGAAGTCAGATAATCGAATATTTCTCATCTAGATTTTTAAAAAACACATGATGATACAAATGATGAACATGTATACAATGGTTAACTCAACGACAGATTAAAGTAATGATGCTGCTGTTATTAATGTTACAATATATGTAAATATATTCCTAGAAAGTCACGCCAATCATTTAAATAGATTCTCTATATTATTATATAAGTTTGCTATATAAGAAATCTTGGAAAGTGCTATACTAATATACTTTTATTACTTGTGTTTAGTTTCATAGTAATAACGTTTCAAAGCATAATATTTTTCTAATATAAAAACAAAACACACTCATTATAAAAAAGTTGACAAAATACAGGCAAGTAGAAAAAAGAATCATTCACAGTTCCACCACTCATATATACAACTGTTACCTAAATTATTTCCTTCCAATGTTTTTTTCTATGTATAGTTTCATGAAATTTTGCTTTCTCAAGTCTCACTTATCACGAGCATACTCTGGGCTAAATTCATGCTAGGGTCTCTTAGAAGGGAAAGGGAAGTTTACAAGAAATGCATGGGACTTTAAAGGAAATATTGTTCTTTAACTACAACATATAGGATGCTTATATCTGAAATTTTCTAAAGTTCTAATATTGCTTATGCATTTTATATTAATTTGGTCTTATTTTCTAACTTTTTTTTTAAGCCAGTCAAATTTAGCAGTGGGGGGTTGAATTATTTTCTAACATTTGTAATTGCTTTTGGAAATGTGGATTAAAACAGTGCTAAGTTAATAAATATGTATATTTACCTAAGTATTTTTACAGGCAAAATGGAGTTTGGTACAAAATGACCCATGTTAAAAACATTAATAGCATATATCTGTATATTTGGCCCAAAAAAAAGAAGTTAAAGAATTTTAGACAAAATTTCAACAACTGGAATTTATCTATATTTTTATTACTCTTAGAAAATCCATTCTAACTACTTCATATCATCTTTGATATCTCCATGAGTATAGATTAAAAATCACCTACACTTGTAAACTAATCTGAAAAATCTTAGCCAAAAAGAAAAAAGACATAGTTTCCACACTATGTGAACTGTTTCCTTCTTTCTTTCTTTCTTTTTCTCTTTCTCTCTCTCTCTCTCTCCTCTCTTTCTCTATTTTTTTTTTTTGCAAACAGTGTCATGATAGCTCACTGCAACCTCAAACTCCTGGGCTCAAGTGAGTCTCCTGCCTCAGCCTTCCAAGTAGCTGGGATTACAGGCACCAGCCACCACACCTGGCTAATTTTTTTTATTTTTTGTAGAGACAGGGTCTCACTCTTGCTAAGGCTGGTCTTGGACTCTTGGCCTCAATTGATCCTCCCACCTTGGCCTCCCAGAGTATTAGGATTACAGGCATTAGTGACCACATCCAGCCTGTTTCTTATTTAACTGTAAAACACATACTGGCTCTTCCTAAAGCCCAAAGTGTAGAAGAATGATGAATATAATTGTGGGTATTATCTATGACATTACTGAATAAAATTTATTTGTTATAGAAATTAATGTTTTAAAAGCTTTTGATGAAATTCCCATTTAAGTGTATAGTTTGGTATATGTGCATATATATGAAATTTATATACGATATTTTAAAGTTAGTAAGAGACTAATGGTATGTAACAGGAAAAAGCAACTGGCATAGTTCAGTAAGGAAGAAAAATAGCAAAGATGTCTTATCAAAACAAAATGATAAAGGAATTAATAGGATTAATTTAGATACAAACTGTACTTAAAAAATGAAGTATAATATATCCCAAATCTCTAACCTATAATTTTAGTACTACCCCTTAAGAACAGAAATTCCAACTCAATTATTTGAATTTCTATTATTATAAGCTTTATACAAAGGACAAATTGGGTTTCTTCTTCTCCTTTTTGTCTTTTTTTTGGAGACAGAGTCTCGCTCTGTTGCCCAGGCTAGAATGTAGTGGCAACACCACAGCTCACAACAACCTCAAAATCCTGGCCTCAAGTGATCCTCCTGCCTCAGCCTCCCAAGTAGCTGGGACTACAGGGACACGCCACCACACCTGGCTAATTTTTTTTGTAGAGATGGGGTCTCATTATGGTGCTCAGGCTGGTCTTGATTTTTAGCCTCAAGCAGTCCTCCCACCTCAACTTCTCAAAGTGCTAGGATTATAGGTGTGAGCCACTGTGCCCAGCCAATCTGGGGTTTTTCTTATCTAAATTTGTGTATAGACACTGGTACCTGACAATATACTTAGTTATTAAAGTCATACTAAATAATGGGTACATAAAATTCTAAAATACATTTTACAGACCAAACTACTTGTGTTTACCTCTCGTCCCATAAATGGGAACGACAGAATGGATTTCCTTAACCTCTATAATAAAATGCCACTATTGAGTTTTATGTATTTTAAAATTACTTAATGGACTCTTACATAGCGTTTAGTATGTGCCATACTATTTTAAGTGCTTTATAAATATTAACTCATAAGTAATGACTAACAGCTAAAGGTCACATCAAATTATTAATACCAAAACCATAGAATAAAAATAAATTTAAACTGGATGAAAGTATACAGTAGAACCAAAAATTATAACAATATAACCTGAGTATACATAATGAATGGGATGGTCATAAAAGGTACCAGTAATATTTCTTGTAATTCATTTGGCTGTTAAACTTTTATTTTTAGTTCTGGTATCTAAACTTTTAATAAAAATAATTTTATGACATTTTTAAATGGGGGATACAATTATATTTTTAGGTGTGGGATTAAAAAATTGAATGGACTCATGTCTATCAGAATGGACTCATGACAATGTGTATTTTCAGGCTCTTTTTATTGGAATGGACTAACCTAACACTTGTACTAATAAACGACGTAGTATACATTTTTACACCCAGAGTCTCAACATCACTCTCCATTAAAATGATCCAAGGTTCCTAGAAAGTTGCCGATTCTATGTCTTGGGACAGGTAAATTCAAGATGCGTCTGGAATGACTTTTAAATACACTGAGAATTTGTACATTGCTTCTTGCTTAAATTTATATGCCAGGTGGAGGTTTTAGTTTATCACTACCCTTTGCCTATTCCCTTTATTCTCTATGGTCTTTCCAAGGGACACAGTACTTGTATATTTAAAAACAGAATTACAAAAATGTGGAATTAGAGGCCGGGCACAGTGGTTCATGCCTGTAATCCTAGTACTCTGGGAGGCTGAGGCACGTGGATCGTTCGAGCTCAGGAGTTTGAGACCAGCCTGAGCAAGAGCAAGGCCCCGTCTCTACTAAAAATACAAAGAAATTAGCTGGACAACTAAAAATACATAAAAAAAAATTAGCTGGGCATGGTGGCATGTGCCTGTAGTCCCAGCTACTCAGGAGGCTGAGGCAGGAGGATCACTTGAGCCCAGGAGTTTGAGGTTGCTGTGAGCTAGGCTGACACCACGGCACTCTAGCCCGGGCAATAGAGCGAGATTGTCTCAAAAAAAAAAAAAAAAAAGAAAGAAAAGAAAAATGTGGAATTAAAATTATGAATCAGACAAAAGGGACATGGAGCTAATACTTTAAACATGAATTTTAAGGTAATGGTAGCTAAGCACTGAAGTGAGTATATATAATAGAATTCTCTATCCCAAGCTTCATTCATGTCAAATACATCCTCAGTAAACTACTGTTAAAATGAGAGGGCTGCCTGGCCAAATGTGGTGACTTGGGCCTATAATTTCAGCACTTTGGGAGCCCAAGGTGAGAAGGATCACTTGAGGCCACAAGTTTAAGACTAGTCTGGGCAACATAGCCAGAGCTTGTCTCTACGAAAAAATAATAAATAAATAAAATTTAAAAGACTGCTAAAATGTACTTGACTCATTCTCTACGCTAACAGTTCACTGTTCCCTTGATAGCTGTTGAAACTTGGACAATAAAAAAAAAAGTCTCTGACAGATAAGTTACAAATATACAGCTGTCCCTAGGTGGTCCTGGGGGACTGGTTCCAGGACTCTCACAGACACTAAAATCCACAGATGCTGGAAGTCCCATATATAAAATGGCATAGTGTTTGCATATAACCTGTGCACATCTTCCCATATACTTTAAATCATCTCTAGATTATTTATGTCTAATACAATTTAAATACTATGGAAATAAATAGTTGTTATACTATATATTGTTTGGGGAATAATGACAAGGAAAAAGCCTATACATGGTCAGTATAGAACCTTTTTTCTTTCCCCTGAATATTTTTGATTTGCAGTTGGTTGAATCCAAGAATGTCGAACTCACACATATGGAGAGCCGAATGTAATTCAAGTCTGATTTCAAAAGTTTGTTCACATAGCTTATGACCATTCTGTAAATCCAATTTTATATTTCACACATAATTTTTCTCAAAAGACATGCTTCAGCATCTCATAAGGGGGCCTTATTAAGAAAATATAATAAATTATATTACAATGGTAATTGTACTGCTTTTATAAGGAGAAAAAAAGATTATTGAAAAACTAACAAAATAGAACATTAAAGGGTTAAGCTATAACTTCAGGTTATTTTCAAAAGGTATGAAATCCAGCCTGGACATGGTGGCTCACAACTGTAATCTTAGCACTCTGGGAGGCCAAGGCAGGAGGATTGCTTGAGATCAGGAGTTCAAGACCAGCCTGGGCAAGAGTGAGATCCCATCTCTACAAAAAGTAGAAAAAATTAGCTGGGCATGGTGGCACCACCTACTCCGGAGGCTGAGGCAACAGGATTGCTTGAGCCCAGGAGTTTGAGGTTGCAGTGAACTATGGTGATGCCACTGCCATCTAGCCAGGGTGATGGAGCGAGACTGTCTCCAAAACAAAAAAAAAAAACACAAAAATCCTCAAGTTTCCTAAATTTTCTTCTGTTCAATATTTACACAATATGATATGATAGAAAATGACTTAATGACTGTGTATATTTTTTTTGTCCATCACCAAGGAACATAAGACATTAATTTCACAAGCTTCTGTATTTTGAAATGAAGCAAAGTTAATTCTTTCTAGTTTCTAATTGAACTAGAAAAATCCACATAAAAATGTAAGTCTTACAATATAGAGGGATCAAAACAAAGAAAAGATAATTGTAAAACAGTATACCTCACTGGCAGACATATTCTTCACCTGTTCTGGCTTCAGTTCTGTAAAATATAAGTTTAAATTGCTGAGGGGCAAAACCATATACAGTGAACTAAAAGTATATGTTCAATACAAATCATTACATTAAAAGAAAGAAACACACATTAATACTGAGAGCACATACAATTTATAAATGCTTAGAATAATATTCCTTCTTAGGAGTAACTGGGAAGTAGTCAATGTCTTGCATATTGCCCAGGAACAATAGTTTACTACTATTTGAAATTTGACAGTGAACTTAAAAGAATACAACTTATTCTCTACAAAAGGCATTAGTTCATCTTTTCTTAACCCAAAATTTTTGCCTGCTTCAGAATAATAACTGAAATATTCTAAAAAATACAAATGACTAATACATTATCTACTGTTTCTGAGTTTACTATCTGGACAAGATTTCATGCCTCAGGCAGCAGGAAAGTTTTTTTACCCAGAGTATTAAAATATATTTGCAAGATTATATTTGTTATTTTCCAAAGTAGCAGTTCTTAATCAGTACCCTATTTCACTAGGGGAGATGTTTTGCCAGTAATTTTTAACAAATAAAGCAAAAAAATTTTGTATAATGTAGGCTTTTAACACAAATTACAGCAGAAACTATGATAACATCTTTCTCATACAATTGCACTTTCCTGAGTAAGACATAAAGGGTGAAACTATAAGTAATGCTCTGGAAGTTGTGTGTTCTATGTTCTATTATATCATCATAGCCAATAATCTGAGTGCGTCCTGAGGGCATCATTCATCCACTGTCTATTATGTTAGTTATGGAAAAGTAGCTGAGAACATCTATTCTAAAAGTGGTATCATGGTGAGTTTAACCTAATCTAAAAAGAATCAGTTGTAGTATTTCAAAATCAACAAATTGACTTGAATCAAAACATAGCAATGAATGTTTCGGTGTAAATCCTTGAACGATAATATATAATAAATAAAAACTTCTCTTTATATAAGTTCCTTTAGACACATTAATTTCAAATCATACTAGAATATTGAAAAGAGCCAGAAAACAGATAAGAACATTTCCCCTTAATTATTCTTTTCTGGATACTTGAAAAAGTTTTCTTCTCCTTTGCGTCTGCTGCAGCTACTTACTATCAGGAAGTGAAACCTGTTGTCTAGAACAAGGATGATGGTCCACTGCCTCACGGACTGTTTTCACATGACCTGTGAGCTAAGAATGGTTTTATATTTTTAAAGGGTTATAAAAAAAAAAAAGATGATGATGACTATGCAACAGAGACCATATGTGGTCTACAAAGCCTAAAACACTTCTATTAGGTCCTTTACAGAAAAAGTTTCCTGACCCCTATCTAGAAACAACTTTGTACCAAGTTTTCCACTAATACAGCTTTACTGCTTTCATACTGATAATAAAAACGGATCTCTAATTAGGGACTTCTTAAATTTCTAAAGTAGTATAATAGTTCTAAATGTTTCAAGCTCTTGTACACACCCACCTCGGATAGGACCCAGTGCTGCATCTTTTGCCAAAGCTGTCAGATCACTTCCTGAGTATCCATCAGTCATTCTGAAAAGGGGAAGGAAGAAACAGCAAATTATTTTCATCTCTGCAGATTTAAAATCTCCACATAAGAGAATAAAAACTGGTTTGCCTTTGTCACCAAGCCAACAGTTACGTGGTTTGATTTTAAGGGGACAGAAAGGCCCATGTGCTGAAAACAAAACAGTGTATCACTGGCTCCTTATATTGGCTCAAATTTTAAGCATTAGAACCATTCCTTTAGATTAAGGCATACTATCTTCCGAGGCTCCACTAAATTGTAAACACGTCACCTGGAAAGTTAATATCTACAAGCCACTGGTGGCCAGCTGACACAGAAACACAATTACTTCTATATAAGTTGTCTATATTTTGGCAAAGAGCACTCTTGCAATGGAATAAGGGCCAATCAAGGTGATATCGTTAAATGTGGCACAGACAAGATGAAGGAAGGGTCTGGAGTAGAAGATACTGGCAGAAAGAGGCACACCTGAATAGGATGCCACAGTGGAGAGTCCTGGGCAGCCAAGACATTACCAGGGGGAACTAAGAACTAGGGAAGTGAGGCAAAGGGGAAGAGGAAAACAAAACAGGGAAAAAGCATTTACTTACCATGTACCATGTTAAACAACTACCCAGATCAAACATTAGAATTCTTTATTGAAATGACAAAGAAGGACTTCCGTACTTCCAAGAATTTAATTTGTTCTTTTCTCATAGGTATCTGGAAACTCAGGGTTGCTACTCACATACTTGTTAAATATTGTAAATTACTTTATGACATTTTCAGGGACTAAAATTCACAAGTGCATCATCTGTAGTCAATACACTTTGTAAGTACACTATTAACTAAAAAGTTTAAGATGTAGAAATAAAAAAAAATTCTATGTAATACAAAAGAACAAACTTATATAAAAATAACTGTTGGTGTGGGCAGACATGAGATGTTTTAAAATTTTAAATTACTATACTCAGAAGTGTTAATAAATTTATAAAAAGAATGTAGTATCATCATTAGATATTTAGATCATGTCTTGTAGAGGACATAAAAGTTGAAATTTAGATAACATTTATAGGAATGAGAGGTAAGAAAAAAGATAAAGGCAACAGAGGATCAGACAAGAAGTTTTCTGATAAATAAATTACTCATTTCATACTTAAGTTTACTTTAAATAACACAGAAAAACAATTATTTATCCTCCCCCATAAAAAAGCTGCAAAATAAATCAAATCAAATTACTCACCTAGCAAGCTGTGCTAGTTCTTTTTGCGTCAATGGGCTTCCTTGTTTACATAACAGATTTTTAAGTAAAAGTAGTCTTGTCTGGAAAAAAAATATGAAAGAATTATCAGTCTGGTCTAATTTGACATCAGAATTAATAGTTCTTCACATGCTGAGAATTAACTTAATAGCCAGGAGTCAAGATCAAGTTCTCACTATTACTTTGAAGCCTCATTCATGTCTGTTAAATGGAATTAAAATTACCTATACATTGAGAGTTCCTGAGAAAATTGGAGAAGATAATCCAAATGAAGCAGGAAGTAGCTGCTATTACTATCAAGGATGCTATGGGTCTGAGCTACACAACAATAATTTAAAAAAGTTTTATAGAGATATGAATTCATATAGCATGAATTTCACCCATTGTTAAATAGATAATTCACTGACTTTTAATAAATTTAAAGAGTTGTACAACCATCACCACAATCCAGTTTTAGAATATTTTTATCACTCCAAAAAGTTGACTCATGCCTGACTGCAGTTAATTCCCACTCCAACTCTCACCGTAGCAAATCACTGATCTGCTTTATGTTTCTAGAAATTTGCCTTTTCTGGACATTTCATATAATGAAATCATATATGTATAACATATATCATCTGGCTTCTTTCACTTACCATAATGTTTTAGAGTTTCATTCATAGAATTTCATGTATGAATTGAGTATATAGCATGTACAGTTCATTCCTTTTATTGCTAAACAGTACCCATTAAATGGATATACCACATTTGTTTATTCATTTGCCAACTGATGAACATTTTAGATTCTTTGCAGGCTTCAGATATTATTAATATTATTGTTACAAAAATTCTTATACATGTCTTTGTGTGGACATATGTTTTTGTTTCTCTTGGGCAAATTCTTAGGAGCGGAATTGCTGGTTCTGATGGTAAGTTTATCTTTTTAAGAAACCACCAAACCAGGCTGGGCGTGGTGACTCACTCCTGTAATCCTAGCACTCTGGGAGGCTGAGGCGGGAGGATCGCTTGAGGTCAGGAGTTCGAGACCAGCCTGAGAAGAGCGAGACCCCGTCTCTACTAAAAAATAGAAAGAAATTATCTGGACAACTAAAAATATATAGAAAAAATTAGCTGGGCATGGTGGCACATGCCTGTAGTCCCAGCTACTCGGGAGGCTAAGGCAGAAGGATTGCTTAAGCCCAAGAGTTTGAGGTTGCTGTGAGCTATGATTATGCCACTGCACTCCAGAGTCTGGGTGACAGGGCAAGACCCTATCCAAAAAAACACAAAGAAAAGAAAAGAAACCACCAAACTGTTTTCCAAAGTGGCTATACCATGAATTGGAAGACCTGATATTGTTAAAATAGTAGTTCTTGTTTTGGTTTTTTAAAAAAACTCCAATAAAGATACATACCTCCTCATTTGGTAAAGACACATATACCCGTTTGATGAAACGCCTAAACAAAAAATAGATTCCAGAAATTTTAGAAATATAATTCTGAATTTAAAGATAACTCAGCTTAAGTAGCAAATGACAGAAAAAGGGCTTTAAGTATAATATTCAAGGGATTTGAATGCATTATAATAGTTACCAATGTAAAAAGATATTTTGTTACTCTTTTAAAACTCTCTAGTTAATGTTTTAAAATCCTTAATTCCATATTGTCAGAATTAAATTAACCAATTATGTATGTAGATGTTTTTTTACCAGCAATAATGCTTTAAAACATATAAAATATCTGATAAAAGAAATGGAATAAAGAGATCTCTGCTGTTTTCTTGAATCTGAAAACACCTAAAATCAAGAAGGATAACAAATAGAAATGTAAACATCATGAACAAATTAGGTAACATTTATGGAACTGAAATATATGAAGGGCTGCCTAGGGCATACACACAGGATCTGCCATTGCAAATCATGGACGTGGCAGTCAGATCACAGTTTTCAAAATAAAAAAAAAACAGGCCAGGCGCAGTGACTCATGCCTATAATCCTAGCACTCTGGGAGGCCAAGGTGGCAGGATTGCTTGAGGTCAGAAGTTCTAGACCAGCCTGAGCAAGAGTGAGATCCTGTCTCTACAAAAAATAGAAAAATTAGCCAGGAATGGTAGTGCACACTCTTAGTCCTAGCTATGCTGGAGGCGGGGTCAGGAGGATCACTTGAGCCAGGGGGCTTGAACTACGATGATGCCACTGCACTCTAGCCCAGGTGAGTGACAGAATGAGACCCTGTCACTTACCAACAAAGAGCAGACAAAACAAAGTCATTAAAAGGTTAACTTTAAAATTAACAAATAGTGTTCACTGTTTTGAAATCATCAAGCACACAGTAGTTAGATTTTCACAAAATAATGTACATTTTTAAGTATATCTAATTGAAGTTTCTTGAATGCGGCCTTATTTGATTACGGCTAAATTAATGTGGTCTTTGAACATGAAAAGGTTCCCCACTCCTGGGCTAGAGGACAGTACAGAGAGGAAAATAATGAATTTAGTCTTCAAACTGGGAGTAAAGGAAATAATATGTAAGATGAACATATGAGTAAATATATCTCTAATAAATGCGTGTGTTTTCACACAAATCTCCCTACCTGAGAACAGCCTCATCAAGTTCTTGTGGCCTGTTAGTTGCCCCCATTACAAGTACTCTGTCATCTCCAGCAGATTGTACCTACAAGCCAAAAATACATTTTTCAGTACTTTTGGATAAAGTAGTAACAAAGAAAAATAAAGATATTTGTGTTTCTAACTGTGGTCATTTAATAGGAAAATATATATACTAAAATGCTGCTACATTAAAAATGTCATAATCAACACTTACACCATCAAACTCTATTAGAAATTCAGTTTTTAGACGTCTGCTAGCATCATGCTCCCCTTCTCTTCTTTCACACAAAAGGCTATCAACTTCATCTAGAGGAAATAAAAGGATAAGACTTCAATTATAAAGACCAAGCTATGTCAGTCATCTGAGATTACCCTAGTTTACTACTTAACTTACTGATACAGAACTTACTGCTTAAGTTACTAATACTAATTAGATAGTCTTTAACCTCACCGTTCTTTAAAATGTTTTCCTTCTGAATAATCTTTCCTATCACACCTCTCATCTTTGGAGAGGGGAATTTCACAAATACTCAACTAACTTAGTTGGAACACATGTTCTTACCTATAAAAATTATAGAAGGTTGAAGTTCTCGAGCCACAGCAAAAAGAGCTCTCACCAATTTCTCTCCTTCTCCCACCTAAAGCAAGGCATTATACATTGTTATACATACAAAATGCAACATTATTACAGCTTTTTTAATTTCATGATTTAGGCCGGGCACGATGACTCATGCCTATAATCCTAGAGCTCTGGGAGGCTGAGGCAGGAAGGTCGCTTGAGGTCAGGAGTTCGAGACCAGCTTGAGCAAGAGTGAGACCCCCGTCTCTACTAAAAATAGAAAAAATTAGCCAGGCATGGTGGTGTGCACCTGTACAGTTCCAGCTACTCGGAGGGCTGAGGCAGAAAGATCACTTGAACCCAGGAGTTTCAGGTTGCTGTAAGCTCGGTTGATGCTCCAGCACTCTAGCCTGGGTAACAGAGCAAGAACGTCTCAAAATAAATACATAAATAAATAAAATAAATTTCATGATTTAAAGTCTATAACCTCCATGGTTCCCAGGAGTTTGAGGCTGCAGGGAGCTATGACAATGCCACTGTACTGTAGCCCATGTGACAGAGTAAGACTCTGTCAATCAATCAATCAATAAAGTCTATAACCAAGGAATTTAATTTCCCTACTTTCCAACAACCAAAATTTGGTTTGAAGAAGGTGGGGAGTGTTACTGAAGTGTCCCTTATAATGTTAGAAAATAGATTATGATTTCATACAGCCTGGTAAGTACTTTAAAAAATGAAATATATGTTTTGTTTTACGTTGCATTCCTAAGACTTGAGAATGGAACAGCTTTCAGTCAGGGGTATAACTAGTGAGAAGAGGTAAGACACTAGGGCAGAGAAAGAGATGCCACACATATTCCTTAAACCCTGGATTATAGGGTATATTTATAGAAGCAGATAAGTTGTTTAGGAATGTGCTCTCCTAAACAAAACTTGCTGTATTAAGAACACCTTGAAAAGTCATTCTCACAATACCACTATCAGTAAATATTAAAATGTTTCTAGGTAGTCCAGGAGGTATAAGAATACCCTTTGAGACATTCCCAGGTACTGAAACCATACTATAGCTGTTCTACCCAATGAAGTATCTTAATAAAGTATCCAAGGAGGTCTGTGATAATCTACCGTAAAAACTGTTCTGTCTTCCAGATGGCATTTATTCTTTTTATTGAAAATTTCACTTAAAAACAAATAAATACAAGGAATGGCTCCAGATCTAGAATCATCAAAACAAATATTCTCACAGCTGAAAGAAATGTCAAAAGATCACCTCTTATGACATTAATTTTTTTTTTTGAGACAGAGTCCCACTTTGTTTCCCCAGATAAGGCGCAGTAGTGTCACTGTCGCTCAATACAACCTCAAACTCCTGGGCTCAAGTGATCTTCCTGCCTCAGCCTCCCAACTAGTTGGGAATACAAGCCTGCAACATGATGCCTGACTAATGTTTTTTTCTATTTTTAGTAGAGATGGGGGTCTCCCTCTTGCTCAGGCTGGTTTTGAACTCCTGAGCTCAAGCAATCCTCCCACCTTGGCCTCCCAGAGTGCTAGGATCACAGGCGTGAGCCACCTCACCCAACCAACATTTACATTTTATAGCTGAAGTAGGCCTGAAGTGATACTTTTCTAAGGCCAGCTCAGTATAAAAGTGAGGTTGAAATCTGTATTTCCTAACTTTCAAGAGAGTGCTTTTTGTTACATTACGTGCATAATTTGGGTAAACCTACTTTAATAATAACTTTACCTATAAAATTTGACATAAGAAGCAAAATGTGATCAGGAAAAGAGGTATCATTTTATAGTTACTTTTAACTACTTTACAAATTGAGAATATTTTAAGCATTAAGGTTTATTAAAATATTAAAGAAACTTTTAAAAGATTTCACTTATCACAGAAAAGATAATATAAGAGAAATATATTATCAGCTTCTCTGTTATTACCAGTTCTTTTTTTTTTTTTTTTATTTTGAGACAGAGACTTGCTCTGCTGCCTAGGCCAGAGTGCCGTGGTGTCAGCCTAGCTCACTGCAACCTCAAACTCCTGGGCTCAAGCAATCCTCCTGCCTCAGCTTCCCAAGTAGTTGGGACTATAGGCATGTGCCACCATGCCCAGCTAATTTCTTTCTATTTTTAGTAGAGACAGGGTCTTGCTCTTGCTGAGGCTGGTCTTGAACTCTTGACCTCAAGCGATCCTCCCGCCTCAGGTTCCCTGAGTGCTAGGATTACAGGTGTGAGCCACCACCCCTGGCCCACCAGTTCAGTTTCCGTTTTTTTAACTGTTAGACACAGACAACCTGAATATTACCAGTTTTTTAATCTAGTAGTGCATGGATGCACTAAAGACCAAACTATAAAAACTTTGAAAGAAAAACTGTGAAAGAATACTTTATAAACTGCAAAGGATGTGAATAATGTGTTTTTAAAAAAATTAATACAACATAAGCATGTTAATTAATTCTAAAATATAAGAATTGAAACTATTTATATAAAACAATAAAACTACAACTACATGTGACAATCTAGATAAATCTCACAAATATAATGCTAATGAAAGAAGCCCAACACACACAAAATCTTGTGTGATTACATTTATATAAAGTTCAAAGATGGGTTACTACTACTATGATATTAGTAGTCAAGTGGTTTTTGGGGAGATGAGTTGATAAAAATGGGGGGAGCCTAAAGAGATTTCAGGGGTGAAGGGAACAATCTATTTCTTGACCTGGGCAGTGATTATGAGAAAGTGTATTCACTTTGTGATAATACACTGAGCTGTATACTAATGATTATAAACACTGTCCTACATGTAAATTCTTCAATAAACAAGGTTAAACAATAATAAAACATGGTAAGATATATTTGTAACTGATTTTTTGTGGGGAAAAAATCTAGATATTTTAATAACACAAATGTTCCCAACACCTATGATGCAGTTCATGAAAAAAGGTTTCTCAGGATGTATCATAAGAAACAGAGCATCGAAATAATACTAAACAGTATTTTCTTTCTAAATCTTCAAAAGCAAGATCACATCTGAAGTAAAATAATCAGTTCTTAGCATAATATATGCATACTAACAACTGGCATGAGATCATAGGAAGATAACTAAGCCAGAAAGGGGAAAAAAGCAGATATAACATTAAGTTCCTACATATTTGAAAGGCTGTGTCATGAAAGCAAACTGGAGTTTTATTATATACATAATACTTAAGAAAAGTGTATAAAAATTAGAAGAAGATTTCAGCTAGACATAAAAAAAAGTTTTATTAACTAGAGCTATCCAAATGATGAACTACATACTCCAACTTTCTTTAAAGTAAACTTGCTTCAATATATATGGCTGGGCATGGTGGCTCATGCCTGTAACCTTGGCACTGTGGGAGGCTGAGGCAGTAGGATTGCTTGAGACCATGAGTTTGAGACTAGCCCAAGCAAGAGCAAGACCCTGTCTCTACCAAATATAGAAAAATTAGGCAAGCGTAGTGGCACGTGCCTGTAGTTCCAGCTACTCAGGAGGCTCAGGCAGGAGTATCACTTGAGCCTAGGAGTTTGACGTTGCAGTGAGCTATGATGATGCCACTGTACTCTAGCCTGGACAACAGAATGAGACTCTGTCTCAAAAAAAAAAATTCAAGAGGCAGTATGAGATATGGGGTTAAGATCACACACTTTGCATTGTTTAAGGAATCATGAAGATGAAAGGAAATAGTCTTGAAACAGGTACAGATAAAAGAGAATAGCTGCTGTAAAATTTTTAATGAAAGGACTCAGGCTGTCAAGCCACATTCACTGGAACTCAAATTCTGATTTCCCACTTCCTGGTTATGAGTTCTTGAGCATATCACTGAACTTCTCTGCAGTTCGCTAATCAGTAAGATAGAGGTAAAGGAACAGTATCTCCACTTAAAACGATTATTTATTCCACAAATACTTATTCAATACCTACTTGTTACCAGATACTGTTCAAGGCACTGTGGAATAAGAACACATGGCAACAGTCTCTGCCATCATGGAGACTGTCTTCTAGTGGAGATGATAGTGATACCAGATACAACAGAAATGATCACATCAATGAATATGAATTATAATTTCAGTGAGTATGACATGAGAGGTAAATAGTGCATGAAGATAGCAAAGGGGATTTGTCTGGAGGGACAGGGAAGATTATAACATTTCAATTGATAAGTGAAGAATGAGTCCAAGTTAACCAGAAAGACAGTGGTCATGATAAAAGAAACTCCACGAAGAAAAGTCCTGTGGTAAGAAAAAGCGTAATAGTAGAAGAACTGTCCAGGGGAGAGGGAGTCTTAACAAATGGACTTCGAAAACTATGGATCCAATGGCAAGGCTATTTCTCATAGGGGTGGAGGCCATTTTAGTCTAATGCCACAAAATACTCAAACTATGGTCAATATGTCAAATTTGCCATTCTTTAATTCATTGATCATTATACAACCTTACCGATAACCTTCCCAAACACATCTAATTATAGTGAAAAAATGTGCTGTTCATGCCAGCTAGACCATTCTGATATCACATCTGTTCCTAAGACATAGATCTGCTCTTGGTGTGCTAATAAAATCAAGTTTCTTTCTCTGCAAATCTGAAGGCTGTGGTAGATTGAGGACAGTAAAGTTACCCTCTGAGCCATTCATGGAAAGAGACTGCCCAGATAACATGTGGTAACCACTTCTGGATTTCAGTGCGCAGAATGCCAAAACTTCAAACTTTTACCAGTAACATATACTTTCATTGGAGATTCACATTTCAGTTTAAATATTTTGGCAAAACACTTTCAACCATAACGGTTTTATAAAGGGCAAACAGAATAGGACATCACTGGGAAACCAAGTGAAAGGCAGAGACAGGGAGAGAAAGACAAAGCAGAATAAGGTTTGACAGAAACTACTTCACAGTTTTGCAATTCAGTTATATTCACACACTGGTTCCACACACCAGACAAATGACTTTCTTTCAGCTCTGTAGTCATGCTTTCCCTACCCCACAACTAAACTGAGCACTTCTTTGAATACCAGTATAGGGTCACTGGAAAGTGAATGGAAAAAACAAAACTAAATTGTAGTATAGAATAACCAATAGCATCAAGAAAATCTTCTGTCATATTTTAGTTCATCTACAAGCCAAGGAATGCCAAAGACTGCTAGCAAATGACCAGAAGCTAGGAGAGAGGCATGTAACATATTCTCCCCCAGCCCTCAGAAGGAACTAACCCTGACAACAGTTTGATCTTAGACATCTAGCCTCTGAAACTGGGAGAGAATAAATTTCTGATGTTTAAGCCAGCCAGTTTATGGTATTTTGTTACACAGTGCTAGTAAACCAATAAAGCATTTGAAAATACAATTCTAATTTTAAAAGAGTCTAATGAATGCACATAATTTTCTACTTTGAAAACTGATATTAATCACATGTAAATAATAGATACAAAACTCACAGAAAAGCATTTTTGTGAAATATTACCATTTATACTTAACATAGTAACATTTAGACTTATAACTTAAATAACTTAAAACATGACAATATAGGAAAAAAAAAGAGCACTCACATATTTTGAAGTTAAGCTTGCAGCACTTATATTAAAGAAGGTTGCATTAGATTCTGCAGCTACTGCTTTAGCCTTTAAAAATCACAAGAGCAAATATTAAATTAGTTCAGTATCTTGCTTTAAGATAATAACCTCATTTGATTGATTTAAGTACAGGAAAAGATTATCTTAAAATACAAGGTATAACACAATTCCCAATATATGCCATGAATGTGTTTCCTTTTCAGCAATGAGGAAAGGTTCTAGGAAGAGCTGTGTTTCTTTCTACTCTTTTCTTTTCTGCGAGAGAATGAATAGAGAGAGGTTAAGAAAAAAAGTACTATTCTCTTCTCTCCGTAGGTATAGAGAAAGGTAATTGCTTAGAGAATGATAAATAGCTAAGGAAAAAGTTGCTCCTTCCTTTTCATTTCTTTCCCTGTAGAAGAACTATGCAATGCTACTAGAACTGTTCTGCAAATCACTACAGGTAACATTTAGAATTTTATTCCATATTCTGAAACATATTTTTCCAGATTGACTCATTATGATAATCCATTACACCTTCCTTTTCTAAGAATGAAAAACCTCAGAATTTTAAAAATATTTTTTCAGTGACACTATTTAAGAAGCATATAGGTTTTAAAAGTGTACTTTAATGTCCAAAACTGAAAAGACCTATATAGCTGAACAGTGTATTTGGAATACATGATGCATCAATGTGTAAGAATAACTTAACAGAAAATGTGAGACTCTCCAGTGATATTCCAAAAGTATAGAATAATTAATTTTTGCCACTATTTTACTATTATTTTTACTGTACTCTCATATAGAAATCATTTATTTTATTGTAACCAACAGTATGCATTTCAAACCAAAACTAATTAATATTGTCTAATCTAAAGGCAAACTGTATTGTACAAATAGGCTGAGATGTAATAAATACTTGTCATATCCATTTATTAAAAAAAAAAAAAAAAAGAGCTATGCAGAGGAAAGAGGTTTCCAGATACTGGTAAAATCTTTTGCAAAAGTATACTAAAAAAAAATCTGTAACACACTAATTATTTAAAATAAAGCCATTAAGATAGTAAAAAAAAATTAAGGGTTAGAAAGATACTCAATATAGTAAGGTAAGCTCTTCTATGGTAAAAATTTTATTATTTAATTTAGAAAAACGATGACAATTACACTGTTAAATTTAACCAACCAAAACCACACTACTAAGGGTAACATATTTGGTTTTTCATCTATTTCTGCTCTGAGAACTAGTTTAAAAACTTAAGAGAATTATATCATAGCAAAAAGCAAAAACAGACTCAGGGACAATACAAAGTTTCCTTTTTCCCTATCATCCCTAATATCTCAATAGAATGCTAAATTTGAAAGAATTCTTACCAGCATTGTCTTCCCATTTCCAGGTGGACCAAAGAGTAACAATCCTCTCGCAGGAGCTCTAAGCCCTGTGAACAACTTAAAAATATATACTTTAGATCACAACTATGATTCTGGAGATAATTTTTTCCAGACATTTTAAGTATCATTTGTCATCTAAAAACATCCTTTTTCAGCAGCATCCTTCCAAAGAGAGCTGCTCAAGATTTTAAAGGGAACAGATAATCAGTAATTTAGTATAATAATTAAAAACATAAGAAAACAAAATGAAATAAAACCAACTCCTCAGTGATAAAATGAAAGCAGACTGGTTTAACAAGACAAACTGAACATAGGCATGTTTCTCTGCTTAGAAATCCCACGAAAATTATACTAAATGAGTAAAATAAATCTTACAAACAAAAATAGGAAAGGAGATAACAGAGGACACAATAAAGTTCTGTAAGACGGAGAATTGATAAAATATGGTAAATTATTTAGCAGAGCTTAATGAGCTAAAAATCTATGTGCCTGTTTATGAAGTGGATATCTAGATACAAGAAGGAAGCTGACGTGAACAAAAAATCCCAAGAAAGCTCAAGAATTAGAGGCATGAGGTAACACAGAAAGCAGTAGAGGCTGGGTGTGGAGGATCACTTGAGGCCAGGAGTTCAAGACAAGCGTGGGCAACATAGCAAGATCCCATCTTTACAAAAAGTTTTAAAAATTAGCCAAGTGTGGTGGTGTGCCTATAGTCACAGCCACTCAGGAGGCTGAGGCAGGAGGATTGCTTGAATCCAGGAGTTCGAGGTTGCAGTGGGCTGTGATCACACCACTGCACTCCTGCCTGAGCAGCAACAGAGTGGGACCCTGTCTCTAAAAAAAAAAAAAAAAAAAAAAAAGTTTAAGTAAAAATAAAAAAAAAAAAAAAAAAAAAGTTTAAGTAAAATTAAAAAAAGAAAGCAATAGAAAGCCAAAAACGGAGGAACTGATTGAAAGTTGGTATGAGGAACAACTGAACCCATGTTCCTGCTCCCAAAAAAGAACAGACAGAAAAGTGCCAACCACAACCACAGGAGGCTGGAGTTTCCTTCTCTAGAGAAATTAAACCAGATTCTCCAGACTCAGGGACACTAGGCATGGCAAGAGTCAAGGATAAAGCACCAGACTGAATATACTTCACTTAATGGCAAAGGTGTATGTACTTCTAACTTGAATCATATGTAATGGCCAATATTCAACTTTTTTAAAAATATTTTTTGAGCAGTTTTAGGTTTATAGAAAATTGAGCAGAAAGTACTGAGAGTTCCCATATAACCCTTCATTCCTCCCCAACTTTCCCTATTATTAACATTGTATATTAGTGTCATACAATCATACAAATACTGATACGTTATTATTACCTAAAGTCGAAAGCTTACATTAGGGTTCATTCTTTATGTTTTATATTCTACGGATTTCGATAAATGCATAATGACACGTATCCACCATTAGTACCATAGAATAGTTTCACTGCCCTAAAACTACCCTGTGGTCCATCTATTCATCCTTTTCTACTTCCGGACACACCCCTGGCAACCACTGATCTTTCACTGTCTCCATAGTCTTACCTTTTCCAGAATGTCATATAGTTGAAATCACATGGTATGTAGCCTTTTCAGGTTGGCTTCTTTCATTTACCAAAATGCATTAAGATTCCTCCATACCCTTTTGTGGCTTAATAGCTCATTTCTTTTTATTCCTGAATAATACCCCATCGTGTGGATGTACCACACTCTTGTTTATCCATTAACCTACTGATGGACATCTTGGTTGCTTCCAAGTTTTGGCAACTAGGAATAAAACTGCTAGAAACATTCATGTGCTGGTTTTGTGTGGACATACTGTTTCAACTTCTCTGGGTAAATACCGAAGAGTAGGATGGTTGGATCACATGGGAAGAGTACCTTTAGTTTTGTAAGAAACCATCAAACTGTCTTCCAAAGTAGTTTCTACCATTTTGCATTCCCATCAGCAATAAATGAAAGTTCCCGTTGCTCCACATCCTTGCCAAAATTTAGTGCTATCAATGTTTTGGATTTTAGCATTCTAATAGGGTGCAATGGTATCTTATGGGTTTTTTGTTTTATTTATTTATTTATTTGAGACAGGGTCTCACTCTGTTGCTGAGGCTAGAGTACAGTGGTATCTTTATAGCTCACTGCAACCTCAAACTCCTGGGCTCGAGTGATCCTCCCATCTCAGCCTCCCAAGTAGCTGGGACTACAGGTGCACATTACCATATCCCGCTAATTTTTAAAATATTTTGTAGAGACAGGTTCTCATTTTGTTACTCAGACTGGTCTTGAACTCCTAGCCTTAAGCAATCCTTCCGCCTCGGCCTCCCAAAGTGCTACGATTACAGGAGTGAGCCACTGTGCCCGGCCATATTTTTTGTTTTTGTTTTTTGAGACAGGATCTTGCTCTGCTGCCCAAACTAGAGTGCAGTGGTGTTATCACAGCTCACTGCAACCGCAAATGCCTGAGCTCAAGTGATCCTCCTGCCTCAGCCTCCCAAGTAGCTGGGATTACAGGCGAGTACCACGATGCCTGGCTAATTTTTCTGTTTTTTGGTAGAGACAGAGTCTTACTCTCACTCAGGCTGATCTTTAACTCCTAACCCGAAGCAATCCTTCTGCCTCAGCCTCCCAAAGGCTAGGATTACAGGTATGAGTTACCATACCTGGCCTTCTTGTTTTAATGAGCAATTTATCTAAAGACATATGATGTCGAGCATATTTTCCTATGCTTGTTTGCCATCTGTGTATCATCTTTGGTGAGGTCTCTGCTCAGATCTTTTGCTCATTTATTAATTGGGTTGTTTATTTTCTTGTTGTTGAATTCTAAATGTTCTTTGTATATTTTGGATACCAGTTCTTCATCAGATAATGTGTTTTGCAAAGATTTTCTCCCAGACTGTGGTTTGTCTTTTCATTCTTTTAACAATGTCTTTCATGGAGCAGAAGTTTTTAATTTTGACAAGGTTCAACTTACCAGTGTTTTCTTTCAAGGAAAGAAAGTGTCTAAGAAGTCACTGCTGAACCAAAGGTCACCTAGATTTTCCCTATGTTACTTTCTAGAAATTTTGGGTTGCATTTTAGAGAATCTGAATAACTCCAGAAAAAAACAGTTAACAGTTACGGTCATTTGGAGAAACCAAATAAATAGCATGCTTGCTGCTTGATCATCTTGTGATGATCCCACTATCAGCAAGCTCTACTTACCTGCAGTACAGAGTTGCCAATCAACTTTTTTATTCTTCCACAATAGTATGAATGGACAACCAGGACAACAAGAGAAGCTTCCAACATGAAAGAGTTTAAAGGAAAAAGAATAAAGAGGAATCTAGATGAAAGAGAGACAATATAGTAAACAAAACAAAACTCCATAAAAACTCTAATATTCTTAGAGACAAAGAAGAACCTGCATCTATGAAACAAGAATAGGAAGCTATAAAAAAGGATCAATCAGAGGACAAGAAAGAACTCTTGGGGCCAGGAGCAGTGGCTCATGCCTGTAATCCTAGCACTCTGGGAGGCCAAAGCAGGAGGATCGCTTGAGGTCAGGAGTTCGAGACCAGTCTGAGCAAGAGCAAGACACTGACTCTACTAAAAATAGAAAAATTAGCTGGGTGTGGTGGCACATGCCTGTAGTCCCAGGTACTTGGGAGGCTGAGGCAAGAGGATCACTTGAGCCCAGGAGTTTGAGGTTGCTGTGATGTAGGCTGATGCCACAGCACTCTAGCCTGGGCAACAGAGTGAGACTGTGTCTCAAAAAAGAAAGAAAGAAATAGCTCTTGAAGCTAAATTAATGATATCTGAAATTTCAGGGAAATAGAAAATAAATTTGTGCTTCACTTGACTAGGAAAAAATAATTTAAAAAAGAAAATAAATTGGATGAAATCTCCCAGCAAGTACAATAAAGGACAAAGACTTAAGAGGACAGACAGGAAAAACAGAAGATCAATTCAAGAGGGTTCAAGAGTTCAAGAACCATCCACAGAAAAGGTTTGAGAAAGATGGATCTGGCCGTGGCGGTGGCTCACGCCTGTAATCCTAGCACTCTGGGAGGCTGAGGCGGGCGGATCGTTCTGAGCTCAGGAGTTCGAGACCAGCCTGAGCAAGAGCGAGACCCCGTCTCTACCAAAAAATGGAAAGAAATTAATTGGACAGCTAAAAAATATATGTAGAAAAAATCAGCCGGGCATGGTGGCGCGTTCCTGTGGTCCCAGCTACTCGGGAGGCTGAGACAGTAGGATTGCTTGAGCCCAGGAGTTTGAGGTTGCTGTGAGCTAGGCTGACGCCACAGCATTCACTCTAGCCCGGGTAACAAAAGCGACAATCTGTCTCGAAGAAAAAAAAAAGAGAGAGAGAAAGAAGGATCAAAGAAAATAAAAGGAAAAAGAATTAGACTCCTAGAACTTTCCTCAGAATTGAAGGATGAGTATCCAGAAAACTGCACAGTAAGGGAAAAAAAGAAAAAGAAAATGCATCAAGCAAATCATTGTAAAATATCAGAAGAGCAGCATAAAGAGAAGATCCACAAAGTTTTCAGAAATAAAAATAAGAAGTCCAATGTTAGATTCTGATTCCTGATCTTTTGTATCTAACACGAAGCAACACTAGAAGCTAGAAGACAAGGTCAATGCCTTCAAAATACTAAGGGAAAATAATTCCAACCTAAACCTTGACATCCAATCAAATTATCTATAAGAGAAGACAGAAGAATAAAGATATTTTCAAATATACAAAATCATAAAAAATTCCCTCACATAAACTCTTCCAGGAAGTTACTGGAGGATGTATGCCATCAAAACGAGAAACAATGAAAGCATAAAATACGGAATTCAAAAGAAAGGAGATCCAACATAGAAGGAAGGCGAAGGAAATTCTCATGATAGTAGTGGATAGAGATTATAGACAAACTGCTTTGAAATAGTGATAGAGAGCACTATTGGCTTTGGGCCAGGCATGGTGGCTCATGTCTATAATCCTAGCACTCTGGAAGGCCAAGGCAGGAGGATTGTTTGAGCTCAGGAATTCAAGAACAGCCTGAACAAGAGTAAGACCCCGTCTCTACTAAAAATAGAAAAAATTAGCCAGGCGTGGTGGTGTGTGCCTGCAGTCCCAGCTACTGGGAAGCTGAGGCAGGAGGATCGCTTGAGCCCAGGAGTTTGAGGCTGCGGTGAGCTATGATGACACCACTGCATTCTAGCCTGGGCAACAGAGCAAGACCTTTTCTCAAAAAAAAAAAAACAAAAACCCATGGTCCTATATGATAGTAAGGAGATGGAGGAGAGTTTTTTCACTATTCCTCCCAGATCTATGACTTTATGAAAGAGCAAGAATTAAAGCACTTACTTTAAGTAATTCTGAGAACAATTTATCTTTAGTATTATTTATCTCCTTAAAACCAGTTTCAGTGTTAGATGACTTAATAATAATTCCATGTTTCTACAATGAAATAAAAATTCCAGAATACTGAAGAATGCCTGCCATACCCAACTTCCTATCCAACCTAACAATGGCCCTATTGCAGTCCATGCAAGGTTCCTACTGTGGGGAATTACGAATAAGCTAATTTTGTGCAGAATCAGGGTACTTTATGGGATAAGTCTTACCCATTCACAGGCTTACCAGGATCTATTTTGTGGGTCTACTGTGAAAAGCTGACCTAGGAAAATAATATTCCCTTTGTTGGGAATCTGAAGTAGAAGAATAAAATGTTTCATTTGGCAGGTGTGGCAATATAAAGATAAGTGTGCACCAGAATACAAACCCTAAGGGCTAGCTCTTCGACAGATCCTGCTCTTCCTTAGGTTTCAATTAACTAAGGTTTCTGTCCCTCCTGAGGCCAGGTTATTCAACCTTATCTGAAGTAACCTGCAACTGGCATTTTTAAATTATTCTAGCTTCTTAATTGTACATTATGTCACTACCATGGAAATATGCCTAAATGCAAATTCATGTTGTTTAATCTTATTTTCTATTTTAGATGTGTTCTCTAAAGGCCTGGATAAAGCAAAAGTTGAATGACTTTCCTAGCATAGCCCAAATATTTCCTTAGTATTACGTTCACAATTTTAGATACACTTTTCTACCCTGAAAAGCATGGCTCTTTGCAGATCAGTGCTGTAATCAAAATAAAACAAAGAAAAAAAAAAGAAAAAGGAGGGGAAAAAAAAGAAAAAGCATGGCTCTTAATAAATACTAAAACCTACACTTAAGAATTAGGTTAGGTGGCACCTACAGCACTGAAGAGGTAGTTTTTTCTTTCTTTCCTTTTCTTTATTTTTCATGCAACACTGTTTTGAAGACAGAGGCAGTTCTAATCTTAGAAATCTTATTTCATTTCCTAGGCCTACCACTTAGCTAGAATCTTGAGCAAGTAAGTATAGCTCTTAGGACTAGCTTCCTTATTAACAAATGGACTAGATAACTGCTGAGATCCTTTTCAGGTCTACAATTATACGCATCTTCTTTCAACAAGCATTTTGTCAATATTCAGTCTGCTGCATTTACTACTCTTACATAACTCCAGCAAAAACTTAGCTCAATATACAAGCTACAATATGTTTCCCTAAGTGTGGTCTTAGGCAGTACATGACATAAATTTGGTTCACATAAGGACAAATGCTTTCGATTTTAATAATTCTCTAATTATTTTATTGGGTATTAGCAAAACTTTAAGTAGCATATCAAACCAGTGATTTAATGTATTTAGAATGAGTAATAAGTAAAATAAAGAAAGTAGACTTGAAAAATATTCCATAAATCCTAGTATAGTTGGTACTCACAAGTCATAAAACACCATAAAGGTAGTATGAGAACGACTGAGACTATGGAAAAATAGAGCCACATAATCTTTGTATATTCATTTAATAGTGCATCCATCACAATGTGCCACACAACTGTATTTCCACTAGATGTTCTAGATGAATCCGTAAAATTTGAATGTTCAAGCAGAAATAACTGTGACCTAGAAGTGAGTCCTCAGATTTATTTTTGCAATATTATTGAAACAGCACTAAACGTTCAATCTGTGAATTGCGAAAATCCAAAACAGTGGTTAGTATGGAAAACCACATATTTATTATCAACTACAAGATTACCTATCTTCCTTAATGATATGTAACATATGGGATGGAAGGTTAGGTCCCTACCCACCATTCATTGGCTCTCTGCTTTGATGTATTAATATCCTTAAGAATAATTCTTCTAAAAATTGTTATTCAAACTTTAATACTTAAAGAATTATTTTCAGGCCAGGTGTGGTGGCTCACGCCTGTAATCCCACCATTTTGGAAGGCTGAGGTGGGAGGATCACTTGAGGCCAGGAGTTCAAGACCAGCCTGGTCAAAATAGTGAGACCTCATCTCTACCCACCCCCCAAAAAAAAAGAAAGAATGAATGAATTATTTTTATCTTAATTTCTCTTTTCTCCAATATGATTTCTGTCTCTTATTTCAAATCTCTCTCACCTTGATATCAAAATCATGCTCTACTACCCACTTTTCCTAAAAATTTTAAAAATGGATTGGGAATTAGGAACTCCTATATTCATTCTCCTCTCCTATACTAATTTGTCAACATCAATTGCTAATGTTTTGTTTGTTACCTTATGTGAATTAATCATCCTAGCACAGTCCAAACATTTTTTTATGATTACTATGGATTCAGTAATGGATGATGTTATAGGAAAATGATAATATAAAGTTCTTACCTCAGGCCTCAGAGAAGGAAGAATAACAATTTCTTGTAATGCTTGTTTTGCCAACTCTTGACCAGCTATATCATCAAATTTAACAGCTGTTCCACTAAGGAACAAAACCTCAGTTAGTTTCCTATTAGAAATATGGTTTAGTTGTTACAATATGAAGTTTAGGTTCTACAAAGTGTAGTCATTTTGATGTTAACTGTGAAACTATAGTAAAATCAATAAAGCAATGATTTTCTGCATTTATGATTGAAAAATATCATAAAAATTAAGTATGTAAATCAAAGTATTTACTATCTATTTCACTGATACATTTTAAAAGTGAAATTCAAAAATAAAAATTACAAAACACTTAAATGGCAAAACTTACTTGTCCACAATTTCGTTCATTATAAGGTTAGCAAGGTTGCTGTCCACATTCCTAAAATTCTTCAAGTCTTTCTTCTTCCGAGGAGCAGTTGTAGGGGTAGAAGGTTTATTTGTTCTACTTGTTTTAGGAGTACCCTTAAATGATACAAAATTTTAATGTAAAAATACAGCCTCATGTTTATACTTTTCACAAGTTAATAAATCTTAAAGTTCATAGAATTCAATAAAAATAGGAAAAAGGATATAAAAATACAAAAATTATATATATATCCCAAGGGTATTTTCAGACAAGGAGTAAAAAGCTATATGAAGTGGATTATAGAGGATTTTATCCAGAGACTTAGTTTTTATAAAAAAAAAAAAAAGGCCTTATGATAACAGTGTCATATAATTTTGATTCTTTTTAGAATTATGACAGAATTCTAGGTATGTTGATGTTATAAAACATTTATGTAGACTGAAATAATTTAAAAAGAAATATATAGCATTACATAAAACAGGCTGGGTAAGCAAACTGAATATGAAATGCCTAATTCGGGCCAAAAAACTATGTGCCCTTGTGGATTTAAAAAAAAAAGATATTTAACTTTGTCAAAACTTACCCATTCTCTAAAGTATTGCAAAGTACTTGTAAGAAACTTGAACAAGCATAATAACATGTTCAAAATTTTCTACCTGCAAAAGCATCGTAATTAAAGTTACTATCCCAGAATACCTTATGAGTGGCAGCTGCAGGACCAGGTCCCTGTCTTACTCCAGAAACCATGGATAAACCACTGCAACTAGGTGCCCTGTGGTGGCTTGAAAGACCTGTGGATCCAGTTTTCATAACTGTTTTTGAACGAGGCAGTGAATTACTAGTGTGTGTTAAGGGATCTTTTCTTTTTGGAACAGCTCCACTTTCTAACAAGAAAAAAGTAAAACCATAGTAATTAGAAAATTGTGACGAGACATTATAAAAAATAATAATATAAATACAAACTTGCAAAACCAAGGTAATAATATGTTTTTAAATTCAGAAATAGTTTAAAATAAGATTTCAGAGAACTTATAGCAGAGTATTCACAGGGATTTTCAGGGTAGGCAGGATTAAGGTTATTAGGCTTTTCCTTTTCCTAATGTATAATTCTAATTTTCTCATAAAGAAAAATATTTGTAAAAAGAAGAAACAACTTCATTTCGGGGACGAGGAGTGGAATATAAAAAAGTTATCTATAATAGCAAATAAAATTTCCAAATGCCTAAGAAACAAAACATAGTAAAGCCATTAGGAACAGGCTGTACAGAGGGAAAGAAAAAAAAAGCACTCTACTACTTTAGTTACAAACTTTCTTGACTAAAAATATTATGAAAGGCCACAGCCTATCCCCACCAAAGGAATTTTTAAAATTAATCAATTTTAATGGAAAGAGTACAAAGATGTACTTTTTAATATGTCAAGCATTTTATATGCTGTATATATGTAAATAAATACTTATAGAACACCTCTGATTAAGTCAAAAAGATTATTTGTCCTGTGATACTCTTCCACATAAATTGTAATCTTTTAAATGTTTAGATCTCATTGCTTCTAAATAACATTTTTATATACTACATAACAAATATCAGTATTTATTAATAACAATGTCTACCGTGAAGACAAATGTCAAATCAGTCAGCAAATCAGAGTGGCCAAAAGACAAAAGCCTCAGTTTTGCTTTTGTCATCAAATCCCTTAATATGGTTTAAGGAAACTAAAGACTCTAAACTGGTACAGGGAATCGGCTTAGTTATTTAGAGAACCAGTTTATCTTAGGTAAACTGTTATAAAATCAGAAAGAGTAAATAAAGTTCAAGTTTAAAAAAACCTCCACATTCAGGATACCCTAAAATGAGGTTCTGACACAGAGACTAAAATTTTTAATTGTCACAGTGGGACCAAAATCAGGATCTCTACAAGTAGAAGAATACACAGCATCAAGAAAGATGCAATTTTGACCATGGACCCAAATACTCAACAAGAAGCCAACTTTGAGTCATTATATTATGTTAATCAAATTTATGACAATCAGGAAGATTATTATAGACACATTCCAGACTATCTTGGATTGTTCTTCTAGGACACAAATGATTAGGACTTCTAGAATTGTTTTAGTCACAATAGAGGCTGAAACTATCCCTCTCTCCCCAAAGGTCTTGCAATTGCAGATTCATTTCATTGAACTAACAAATATATCAAATGGCCACTATGCCCAATGTACTAAGTATAGAAAAAATAAAAACAAAAAATGGAAATACGGTGCCTATCTTTGAAAACAGAATCAATCTACAGAAGTCAACAGAGAGTGAACACAATTTATAATAATTAGTGAACATATATCCAAATGATAAGACAACTTAAATTATGGGAACTTTAGAATAGAGTAAGGTTGATTAAGAGGTTTTTCCAGTCTATGGCCGCACTGCCCTGAGCGCACCCAATCCCGTCTGACCTCGGAAGGGGTTTTCCAGTACATAAATGTAAAGCTCTGAATCATATCCTCAAGGAACAATGGATACCGTCAGGGAAGAAGCAGGAAAGCATTCCAGAACAGGGAATGAATGACATAAGAAAAGATGGCAAGAAAAAGCAAAATCCATCTTGGGTAATGCTAAATACCATTCATTTCAGAGGAAAAAAAGGAGAATAAAGAAGAATTTCTACAGACAGAAAATACATAATCCTGAGACTATAAATAGAAATTTCCAAAAGGAAAAATTATGAGGACAGGAGACTTTTAATAAGAAATAACAAATGTCAGTAGGCAACGAGGTATGTTCAAAATGTTAAGGGGGGAAAAAAGTGACCTGTCATATAAGAATGAGGGTATTTTCAGACAAGGAGTAAAAAGCTATATATGAAGTTAGAGAACCAAAAAAAAAAAAAAAAAAAAAAAAAAAATCAGAAAACCTGTAGGGAAGAAAAACTCAAAAAAGGAAATGTCATCAGTGTACACTACACTTGGCTTCAGGTAGATAATATTTTACTAAGTCATAATAATGTTAAGTACGATTTTTTGATATAACTAAAAATAAGAAGATATATGTTGGGAAATAAAGGGTAATGGTGGCCTAAGAGAATTATGTTTTCTTCTACCTTAATAAAGAAGTCAATAAATACTACAAACTGATAAACCAGAAATAGAAATATAAGCATAATACTTGAAAATATAATAGGAAGTATAAGGAAAAAATAACAAGTTAAACATTGTATGAGGAGCTGTGAAGGTTGGGAAGTGACAGAAAAGGGGTCAGAGGGGGAATATTATTTTTCTTTGTAAGCCTTTCAGTATTTTTAAATCAACTTTATTGAGGTATCATCCATAAATTATAAATTGCATCCATTTAAAGAATACAATTTGATGAGTTTTTAAAAATGTATATAACTGTAAAACAGCCATAAAAATCAAGACACAAAAATGTTTCCATCATAGCCCAAAGCTTCCTCGTGTCCATTTACACTCCTATCCTTGTCCCAGGCAACCATTAATCTGTCTTCTGACACCATAAGAGTCATCTGATTTAGTAATTTCTACTGAAAGAGGTTCAAGGTCACTGACTCTTTCTTTTGACATCCATGATCTGCTACTGAGGCTATCTAGTAAATTTTGAATTTCAGTAACTAATCAACTTTAGAATATCTATTATTTTTATTGTTCAGTTTATATCACCTGCTAAGATTTCCTGTTTGTTAACTGATGCCATATTTTCTTTTAATTCTTTGAACATATTTACAGTAGCTGCTTTGAAGTCTTTGTTAAATCCAACATCTGGGCCTGTGCAGAGTTTCTACTGACTGCTTTTTTCCTTGAATAAGGGTCATACTTTCCTATTTCTTTGCATGTCTAGTAATTCTGAGTTGAAAATCAGACAATATAGATAACATATTGTAGCAATAAGTAGACTCTGGTATGATTATTTCCTAACTCATCCAAGTGGAAACATTCCAGAATGTTCCAGAAATGAGTGACACTAATAAAATAAGCCTGAGCAAGTGAGCTCATTCACTGGGGCTCACTGAGTATCAAATACCAATGCTGTGTAAATCAGCTGTCAAGTCAGTATGTCCTACCAACTAGAAAACAGAATAGGACAGACTATACAGGTTGAGTATCCCTTTTCCGAAATATTTGGGACCAGAAGTGTTTCAGATTTTGGATTTTTTTTTTTTTTTTAGTCTTTACATTACACTTACTGGTTCAGCATCCTTAATCTAAAAATCCAAAATCTAAAATGCTCCAAAGAACATTTCCTTTGAGCATCATGTCAGTGCTAAAAAAATTTCAGATTTTGAAACATTTCAAGATTTCAATTTTCAGATTAGAAACAGGGGTATTCAATCTGGGCTAGGGATTTGAAATAAGACCAAGTTCATTTTTTTTAATGGGTCCCAAGAAGAGAAAGTTGCTTTTTTTTTTTGGCATGGCAGAAAAATACAATAGGATCTAGCATGTGTAATGAAGTAGAAGAAAATAAAGATAACAAGGGAAAGACATGATCAGCTCTTCATGGCAAGAGAATTTTTACTGTTTATCTTGGTAGGATTATTAGAATCCAAAACATGTATTTTAGAAACTTAACTATTTGTGATGCATTCATATATTTGTTTCCAGCATGTTCCTTATGAAACTGCCAGCCCTTCATAGCCATGCTAAGATAAACAGGCAAACTATTTACATGTATCCTTGAAAAAGCATTTTAAATCAGACATAGGAAGGAATGGGAAAAGGATTACAGCCACTGACTCTGTACTGTAAGACCAAGTCAAAGTGAGAACTCTTTAAGGGAGAGGTAAAGCCACAAGGGAAAGAGTTGATGACGTTTCTTCTATCCATAGAAATCCACTTACTCTATCTGTTTCTCTATCAAAACCTTAAAAGTTCTGTACTATTCATGAATAAAAAATGCAGTTGTCTTATAGCTTAATCTGAGGCTTTTCTGCTATAATTTGAACACAGTAGTATTTACTTTAATTTTAACCCTGGAGATGAAACTGTTGCTGAAAAAGTCACCAATAAGCTAGCTGAGATTTCAGAGAACCTAGGAAATGAAGAGTCTCCCACCTAAACAAAACAAAACCACATTTAATCTTCTGTAGAAGCTGATACTCAAAAGTTTTAGAAGATAGATTTAATCCACAGTAAATAACAATATTCTTATGTTTCTCCTTACTATGTGAAGCTTTGAATTTTTTCTAAGAGGTACTATAAGACATTCATGTACAGTATATATGAAAATTGATATGCAATGAAAATTAACATATAAAAAATTTAAATTTCTCTTAAAAAACACTTTATCTTGGAAAAAAATTGGTGTGGCTATCCATAAAAAAACACAAAAGCTTAAAATACAACAGAAGCAAAAGAATATTTTAATCATTTAAGAAAATGTAGGGGCTGGATGTGGCGGCTCACACCTTATAATCTCAGTGTTTTGGGAGGCTGAGACATGGGGATGCTTGAGGCCAGGAGTTTGAGACCAGCCTGGGCAACACAGCAACACCCTGTCTCCACAAAAAAATTGAAAAAAAAATTAGCCAGGCACAGTGGCTCACACCTGTAATCCCAGCTACTTGGGAGGCTGAGGCAGGAAGATAACTCGAGCCTAGGGGTTCGAGGCTGCAGTGAGCTATGATCACACAACTGCACTGCAGCCGAGGCAACAGAGCAAGATCCTGTCTCTATTTGAAAAAAAAGAGAGAATTTACCTTCGTATTTTATAATCTCAAAAACTGGAGGTTGCAAACTATGCAAATGCAGCATGATTTGAATGGCTATGCCTTACTTGTTGCATGTTTATATACTATGAATGATAGGGATAATATATTTTCAACATAGCCCTGTGAAAATATAAAAAATTAAACCTACCATTATAAAGTTAAATCAACATTATCAAGTTAAGTAAGACTCTACTTTGCATGCAAGCTTTATTATTTTACATGTTAGTTAACCTAAACCCACCTGACTGGGGGAGATGTCCGTTTCGGCATGTCAAGTTAGTACTGTCATTATAGACGTCCGTTTGTGACTTGGAAAATGGCAAAACTGGTTGCAGCTTCTCTATGCAACAGAGGGGGTTAAAACAAAAAAGAACAAAATAAACAAAAAGAAAAGAAATATAATGAACAAATAAAATGTGCATGTGAAATTAAAATTATTCAAGGTGTTACAAGGTTGTTACAAGATGAAGCTTTTACACTTAAAGGTCTTTAAAAATATAATTAGTAAAAACTCAGACATGAAAATAGCAACAGAAATTAACAAGTGAATGGCTATGTTCAAAATATGCCTTATTTAGGTTAGGTAAGCAGAGGCAGTTATATATCACTATTATTACCAGGAAATATTTACCAAATATTTAGTATGTTCAAATCATTGTGTTGGGAGAGTACCATAGAGATAAAAAAAAAAAAAAGTGAATGTGGTTTCTACTACGTAGATATTTATTAAATATAATTGGCAACTTACAATATATTTTTTAAAAAGACTGCATAATACAAAAGAAAGACCACTGAAAAGGTGTTACAGAGGAAGTACATTATGAGCTGGCTAGCATTTGAAAAGACAAAAAAAAAAAAAAAACATTTCAGGAAAGGAGAACAGTACTTAAAAAGGTAGAGAAGGAAACTAAACTAAATTAACTACATATGTCAGCCAAAAAATAAAGGCAATAAAATAGAGTAGAATAAGCATGCTGCAGTAACTACGTGTACAGTACCCTACCATTTGTTTAAATGAACACATGTGCACAGTTAAATACATGAAGATTACCTCTAAAAATGACCCAGAGAGACTGGTAATAGCAGCTGTCTCTGGGGAGGGGAAATGAATGGCCGAGACATAGAATGGGATGGATGCTTTTCATACTTAAACTTCTAAAATTTTGTGGCATGTGCCCATATCACCTACTTTTAAAATTAATCAGTTAAATATTAAAAAGGATTATTTCAAGCCTACTCCATACTTCAAATAACAAAAAAACTCTCTCAAGATCTGGGTCTCTAAGTCTAAAATCTGAAGCCCAAGAAGGTAGCAGTTTGATCTTCCTTGCCACTCTACGCCACTGCTGTACTCTCTTCCCACATTCAAAGAGTCAATCTACGGCTAGTTGATGTACACTCTGCTCCACCACTTACTAGTGACATGACCTTGCATTCGCCTCAGGATTAAATAATGTATATGAGGTATGTATGTGCTCTGTGTCTCATCCAAGATAGGGGCTCAATTTTTAGCAAACTTTTTTTTTTTGGTACTGAAATACTCCAAGTCATCAACTGATTCTTTTCTTCTATACCAGCAAGTAAGTGAACACATATAAAAATGCAACATATATATAATATATATACTAACTCTCTTCAACTTTCATTTCTAAGGTCAGACAAGCAGGCACCATACTTGGTTTATGGCACAACCACACATGCCTTTGGGACAGGTTAAATAGCAGCAACCCCTTTTGCACAAAACACAAAGTACTATCCAGCTTTTGTATCCTAGAATTGGCTGATACAATATACCCTGGAGCTTTTTTATAAATTGGTTTGCTAACAGGTAGGCCATCTGATTTTTCTCAACAATAATACTCTTTAAATCACCATACTGAGACAAAAACCATTTGTGTTGGTTAAAGCATAAATTAGAAAACACACTGATTTGTAAATGCATTCTTCATCAATTAACACTCTCTTCAATGAAAGGTAAGAAAAAGTTCACAGAAACATTCATTATATAATAAAAATAAATGGAAATTAAATCCTTTGTTTTGATAACTAAGAATAAAAAAACTATAAAACTTTTTAGGTTCACAGAGTTTAGATTTACATGTGTAGAAACATACACATATACATTATAGTAGTACAATGCTACTGTGAACCTTTTCCCATTCATTTTTGTTAAAAAGTAAACTTAGACTAATGCTTTTAGAAGGACTAAGGTTGAGTAGATTAGTCAATGACTGAAATTAAAATAGTAACCTTGCTTCTTGACCTCTCATACCCAACCGTCATACAATCATCTGAGTGATCTACCGAAAAGGAAAATCTTACCCTGTAACTCTTCTACTTAAAACCTGTTAGTTGGCCGGGCGCGGTGGCTCATACCAGTAATCCTAGCACTCTGGGAGGCCGAGGCGGGTGGATTGCTCAAGGTCAGGAGTTCGAGACCAGCCTGAGCAAGAGCAAGACCCTGTCTCTACCAAAAATAGAAAGAAATTAATTGGACAGCTAAAAATATATAGAAAAAATTAGCCGGGCAGGGTGGCACATGCCTGTAGTCCCAGCTACTTGGGAGGCTGAGGCAGGAGGAGGATCGCTTGAGCCCAGGAGTTTGAGGTTGCTGTGATCTAGGCTGACCCCACGGCACTCTAGCCCGGGCAACAGAGTGAGACTCTGTCTCAAAAAAAAAACAAAAAACAAACAAACAAACAAACAAAAAAACCGTTAGTGGCTTCCCACTGCCCGTAGATTAGAGCTCACGCTTCTTTGTATGACAAACCAGGCCATCTATGCTCTGCCTACATCTCTTATGCCTGAGCAATCCCAACTTTATGCCTCTACGAGCACTCTCCCCCACTCACCATGCTGTTTCTTGCTCCTGAGTCTTTGTTCATGCTGTCACTTCTTCCTGAGATGTCTTTTCCTGCATGTTTTAATAACTTTTATTTATCTTTTAAGCCTGCACTTTAGGTTTTACTTCTTCAAGGAAGCTTTCTCAGAAACCTATTTTCCCATCCTTACAAAATGTTTGTATACACCTGTCCTGTGGTGATAATTATCTAGTTATGTGTCTTTTCTCCTACTATATTATGAGATCCTTAAACAGAAGAACATTTTGTCCAGTCTATCAGTAACTCCATTTGTTGAACCTTCAAATATAATCATAATCCAACCAATTGTTATCATTTCTCCTGATACCACCCTAGTCCAAGCCTGCATCGTTTTTCTCCTAGATTATTGCAGCCGTGTCCTAAGTGCTCTCCCTGGTTCTGCCTGTAGAGTCTATATTCAACATAGCAACCAGTCATCTTTCTAAAATTTAAGTCACATTATGTCATTCCTTTCCTAAGAATCCTATAACTGCTCCCCATTTCACAGGTGGTAAAAGCTCAAGTCCTCATGGTGGCTTACATGGCCCTACGTGTTGTGACAACACCTCCTCCCCCACCCCACTGTGAGTTTTCTGACCTCACCTCTACTATATTCTCCTTTCTGGGTAAACTGGCCTCTTTCCTGCTTCACAAATACACCAGGTATATTCTCTTTTTTTTTTTTTTTTTCTGAGACAGAGTCTTACTCTGTTGCCCGGGCTAGAGTGAGTGCCGTGGCATCAACCTAGCTCACAGCAACCTCAAACTCCTGGGCTCAAGTGATCCTACTGCCTAAGCCTCCCAAGTAGCTGGGACTACAGACATGTGCCACCATGCCCGGCTAATTTTTTCTATATATATATTTTTAGTTGTCCAGATCATTTCTATTCTATTTTTTTTTAGTAGAGACGGGGTCTTGCTCTTGCTCAGGCTGGTCTCGAACTCCTGACCTTGAGCGATCCACCCGCCTTGGCCTCCCAGAGAGCTAGGATTACAGGCGTGAGCCACCGCGCCCGGCCTCACAAATACACTAGGTATATTCTCTTAAGGCTTCTTCTCTCTGGATCATTCTTCTGCCAGGTATCTTCATAGTTAACTCATACCAACTTCTCAAAGAGAGATACCCTGACCATCCTGTTTAAAATTAAAAACCCTCCTATCCACTCCTAATCTCCGTTACTGCGTTTTATTTTTTATTTTTTTTCATATATTTATCACCTAATATACTGTATAACTTATTTTTTATGTTTATCGTCTACTATCTGCCTTCTCCCTGCTGGAATATAAACTCTATGGAGGAGGAATCTTTGTCTATATCCCAAGAGCCAACAACAGTGCCTAGTACATGGTAGTCATGAAATAAATATTTGCTGAGTTAATAAATAAATTCAGTTCATATCCCTTAACTATACCAGGTACATCGTAGGGTCTTAATAAATGAATATTGGCGGGGGAGGGGATGGGTATATTCACACCTAATGGGTGTGGTGTGCACTGTCTGGGAGATAGACACACTTGTAGCTCTGACTTGGGTGGGACAAAGGCAATATATGTAACCTAAACATTTGTACCCCTGTATATTCTGAAATAAAAAAATAAAAATAAAAAAAAAGAACAAAATAAAAAAAATAAATGGACACTAAATGAAGCTAGGTTTAATAAAAAGTATAACTGCCAGGTATACCAAGATGCTAAAATCAAAATTATCTTTTTATCTACAGCAGGTTTCACAGTTAAACTTTGCTATAAGGTTCACTATCAATAAACCAAAGATAAATAATACATATGAACTTTTCCCATCTTTATTAGAGCGGTTGCATCCTCTCAAATCAGTCTGTAAGAGTAACTTCCAGGATCATTCTCCCCATCCTTCATCCTACTTAGACACCCATCTGGCACCACACTTCTGAAAAGCTCCAATTTTTAACCAACACATAATATGCAAATGAGTTTTACTACGCATTTGTACACAGATCTTTTTTACTGTCTTTAGCACATCCACTCCCAGACCTTGTGAGTTCTTGAAAGACAGGAATATGTTGACGCCTCCTCTCCCATCCACCTCTTCCCACTTTTAAAGTAACATATTTCATAAATGGGCACATAGCATTTTTGAGGACAAACTAGACAGCAACTTCAAAACATCCAAAATAATAATGCTTTTAATGCCTAGCTTCATATTGTATTATATATGCTTTTTGTGATCTCCTCTAATAATGCAAATAAGAAATTACAAAGGCCGCACATGGTGGCTCATGCTTGTAATCCGAACACTCTAGGAGGCCAAGGTGGGAGGATTACTTGAGCTCAGGAGTTTGACACGAGCCTGAGCAAGAGCAAGATCCCATCTCTACTAAAAATAGAAAAAATAACTGGGTGTCGTGGCACATGCCTGTAGTTCCACCTACTGCGAAGGATGAGGCAGGAGGATTGCTTGAGCCCAGTGGTTTGTGGTTGCAGTGAGCCACGATGACACCATTGCACTCTACCCGGGTGACAGAGTGAGACTCTGTCTCAAAAAAAAAACAAAAACAAAAAACAGGCCAGGCACGGTGGTTTACACCTGTAATCCTAGCACTCTTGGGAGGCTGAGGCGGGAGGATCACTTGAGCTCAGGAGTTTGAGAACAGCCTGAGCAAGAGACCCTCTCTCTACTAAAAACACAAAAAATTAGCCAGGCATGGTGATACATGTCTATAGTCCCATTTACTTGGGAGGCTGAGGCAGGAGGATTGCTTGAGCCCAGGAGTTTGAGGTTGCTATGAGCTAGGCTAACGCCACGGCACTGTAGCTTGGGCAACAGAGTGAGACTCTGTCTCAGAAATAGAAAAAAAAAGGAAATTACAAAGTCACATTCATAGACACTTCTATAATTGACGAGACACTTCCAATGTGTTGTCATATCACAACTTCAAGTAAAAGATTAAAACCAACTTTTAATTATTCAATTTGAAATGTTACAAAATATTCTATAATTAAATGTATTCTGCATCATATATGATAATTTATACATACACTGAACAACTTTATAACTAAAACACATAGAAAGTACCAATTAGAACAATTATTTTACTGCAATAACCTTGATACAATATTTAATTATATTTGATAAAGTAATAACCTTCACTTGGGAAGGAAGAAGCCAAACCCTGTCAGCCACAGAAGCCAGAATAACACCACCTTGTCAGCCATCTGAAAGCAGTAAGGGTTGCTTTTTTAACAATGCGGGGCAAAAAACCCTACAAACACAATGACTATGCAACATCAAATGAATGAGTGAATGAATAAAATGTTTATGTATGTATGTATGAATTTATCTTTCTACATAAGCAGGGAAGATGATTACAGATAGGTAAGGAGTTGAATAAAAACCAACATTTTTAAAGTATTTATTGTGGGTAAGTACTGTGGGTAAATATTGAAGGTACTTACTTACCTTCAATAATTCAATGGTCACAAAGATGAGATTATCTATTAGTCTCATATTAAAAATTAGGTTAAAAAGGCTTAGACATGGCAAAATAATTTACCCCAAATTACAGAGGTACAAATAAATAAGGTCTGCCTGTTTGCCAAATATCTACTATTACCATCACACCAAGGTATGGTAGAACCACTCATGTACGGTGGGTTTTTGTTCCACTTTGAGTGGTATATTAACCTGAAGAATATATTTTTAAAATCTATACCATCAAATAGAAGATTATGAAAGTTTTCTATTACAGCTGATGAATGCTGAAAGAATAACAATTAAAATTCACTATAGGCATCAGTCATAGGTAACTGCTGCCAACCTCACAAGAAGATTGGAAGAACCAATGAACACACAGAACCACCTATGATGTAGTCCTATCATGAAAAAATAAAAATCAACTTTCAATCTGATCAAGCCTTATATCCAACTATCAATTCACAGGGTGGACAGAAGAACATGTTAAAGATACCATAGAGATGCACATAGCTAAAGCCACACTGTAGGAAACACTGTGGGACAAACACCTGGTTTTATCAATAAATAAACTGCAATAAAAATAAAAACAGATGGGCCTGTACATTAAAAGAGACATAATATATGGATCTGAGATCCCGGTTCAAATAATTAAGTTATTTAAAAAATAATAAAAGTTATTAAATTATGACAAAATTAGAAATTTGTGGGCGTGGTGGCTCTCACCTATAATCCTAGCACTTTGGGAAGCCGAGGTGAGAGGACTGCTTGAAGCCAGGAGTTTGAGACCAGCCTGAGCATGAGCACGATCCCCTCATTACAAAAAAGCAAAAAAATTAGCTGGGCATGGTGGCTTGTACCTATAGTCCCAGCTACTCAGGAAGCTGAGGCAGAAAGATTGCTGGAGCCCAAGAGTTGGAGGTTGCAGTGAGCTATCATGATGCCACTGCACTCTAGCCTAGGTGACAGAGTGATATCCTGTCTCAAAAAAAAAAAAGAAAACAGAAAAAAAAACTTTAATTAAAAAAGAAAAGAAATTTGGACACTGACCATTTTTTTTGTTAATGTTAAAAGAAATTATTGGTTATTTTTTAGGTGTGACAATGGTATTTCAGTGATTTTATTAAATATTTTTAGAATCCTTATCTTTTAGAGATATAATATGAAATACTTATAAAAAGATATCATGAATTTGTTTCAAAATAATATGAAGGAGGGGAGAGTGAGGAGGGATAAAAGGGGGGTTGGCAAACTTTTTCTGTAAAGGGCCAGACAGTAAATATTCTAGGTTTTGAGGGTTGTGTGATCTCTTTATCAGCTATTCAACTCTGCCACTGTAGCACGAAAGCCATAGACAATACACAAAGGAATGGGAGCAGCTGTATGTGAATAAAACTTTATAATATTAAATAATAGGCAGTGAGCTGGTTTGGCCCATGGGCTGCAGTTTGCCAGTCCTTGGTATATATAAATCAAGACTTGACCATGAGTTAATAATTATCACAGCTGAATGATGAATAATTAGGATGTTTATTATATTCTTCCGCCTGTTTTTATATGTTAGTTTTCTGTAAGTTAAAAAAGAAAACCTAGACCACGTTTTTAATCATTGATCTATTTCTATCTACAATTATTGTGTTTTTGTTTTAACAAAAAGGTCTGACTATGTCACCAAGGCTAGAATACGGTGGCACCATCAAAGCTCACTGCAGTCTCAAACTCCGGGGCTCAAGTGATCCTCCTGCCTCAACTTCCCCCTGCCTCAGCCTCCCAAGCAGCTGGGACTACATGTATGTACCAGCACGCCCGGCTAATTTTTATTACTTTTTGTAGAGACAGGGTCTCTCTATGTTGCTCAGGCTGGTCTCAGACTCCTGGCCTCAAGCAATCCTCCTGCCTCAGCCTCTCAAAGTGCTGGGATAACAGGTGTGAGCCACCACACTCGACTCCCTATCTATCTACCATTAAAGTTTTATTGAACACACATTTCCAATACATTTCATATCCAATTATATAACACACTAAGTGATACCTAGAAGCTGTAAACGGTCCTTAGCCATAACCAAATTTGTCATCATTTTAGCTTGAAGGCGTCTAGCTCTTTCACACTGTTCACCTGAAAGAAAAAAACGAAAAGAAGAATTAATTAAAATATCCACATTTCCCTACCAATATTGTTTCAAAATAAACTATCACCCCAACTACTCTCATGGGGAATAAAAGTCTTTATAAAGAAGTTAAGAGGCCGAGCGTGGTGGCTCACGCCTGTAATCCTAGCTCTCTGGGAGGCCGAGGCGGGCGGATTGTTTGAGCTCAGGAGTTCGA